CTATCTATCTATCTATCTATCTATCTATCTATCTATCTATCTATCTATTTATTTTACATGAGTGCTCTACCTGCATATACACTGCATGCTAGAAGAGGACATCAGATCCCAGGATAGATGGGTGGGAGCCACCATGTGGTTGCTGGGAATTGAACTAAGGACCTCTGGAAGCACAGACAGTGCTCTTAACTGTTGAGCCCCGAATTTGGGATTTCTAAGCACAGCAGAAAGAGTGAAAAGGTCCTGTGCTTTCTTCATGCTGAGGGCAGCCTCACTGCCCACTCTGCTGAGTGCTGAGGTTGAGTTTGTAGTTTCAGGTTGTCATGGACCCTCTTATTTCTAGCCAGATTCCACACCTCTACTGAAGTTGCTGGTTTGTCTGTGCCAATTTTCTGAGTTCATTTTCTTTATTGAATTTTCAGGGGCTATAATACTCAAAAGCTGAACCTGTTTGATCTTTTGCTGGTTCCCAACCAAAGGTGAGTTCTTTTTCCATCTTGGAATTGTAGGTTCAATACGAAGGCTGAGTGTTGATTGAGCAAGAAAGGTGACTGCATATTTGGCCAAGAGCAGAAGTGGGAGATGACCTCCCAAATCCATGTCTCTACCCACTGGGGATCTATAGTTGAGAGTATAAAATAAAACTGAAGGGATAGATAGACTAGTGGAGAGATGGAAATTCATGTCTTCTTTGGGGATGGGTGGAGATTTCCCAGAATTCACACACCACATCTATCCCCTCTTTATAGAGTCCTTCCTTTTCTCCGTGTGGCAATGTCAAGTGTCTTGGGGCGGGTAGGGTGTCATCAGACTTTACAGTGAAGTTACAGATGTCAGCTGGACACTTTGTCAACCTTTTTAGACCCCAACAGAACCGGAGTTAATGACATCTGTAAAATGTGATAGCACCTTAAGCTATCTTAGAGTTTTCTCAGAGCTTTGATTTTTCTGGAAATGAATATAGTTTTAGACAAGGCACTAGAAAAAAAAAATCTCTTTTATTTCCAATAGTAACAAAAGAAAACTTCTCCCCTAGTCTTGATGTTGGGCTAGTGTTACAGTTTAGATCTGGAAAGTTCTAAGACTCCCTGTACTAAAGCAGATGACCTAATTGGGAGGCGGCAGATTCTTCACAAGGTGGAACCTGTTAGGAGACTCAGTCAGTAGGGGTGTGCTAGAACACTATCCCTGATCTAGTTTAGATCCATGGTGACAGAACAAAGAACTGAGGGCTGGAGATGTAGCTCAGCCAGTAGGAGCATTTACTTCTTTTTCATAGGACCTGGGTCCAATCTTTAGAAACCACATGGTTCCAACTGGCCCTGCCAGTTCACTTCTCCTTCTCAGTGTTGAAAGCTCTCAGTGCTGTGGACGGACCTTGGCTTCAATTCTACTCAGGGAAGGCCCCTTTGGAAGAAATATAGATATCACAATGAGACAACAGTTCAAATCCTACTTCTACCCCCAGTGCGTAGATTCATCTCTCTGCTACCTGCTCATTTTTTTACAGTTGGGGGTCAAAGTGGCAACTCCCAGTCGGTCTGGACACTCTAACTGAATTTGTAGGATCACTGCACCCACAGCTTGCTCTCTCTAATCTCATTGATCCTGGGTATGAATTTAGATTCTTCTAAGTTCTCTTCTTGTTTACTGAGAGGAAATCTATAAAATGTAATTTAACATCTTCACCATGTAAAACCTTGTAGCCTTTGGTCCACTGACAATGCTCTAATAGCTGACATTTATCAAGGGCTAAACATTCTCATCAAAGCAGGGGTTTTCTATTTGATTGATAGTTTGGATTACATAACCTTGTCTCTGCATGTAGTTCTCCTCCTGCCTGAGGGCTACTGGGAAGTCAGAGGGGGCAGGGGACCAAGAGAAGTGTGCCACTGCTGGTGAGAACCATACAGAGATCACACACCCAGGGAACATCTGATGGCCAGTTCAACTTTACTTCCAGAGAACAATGGCTATATATCCCTAGGGTAGAGGGTGGGAGGCTCCAAGAATAGGTGTACAAGCTTCGTTGGAACTAGGCACTTCAAGGATGCTTGATTTGCATTATATGGCATGCTCCTATCGTAAAAGCAGAATGTCAGTGCTTAATTAACATATAAACTCAGGGAGGGGAGAACTAGCAAGGAGCTGTGTCAGAAGCTGTATCGTCGAGTGTGGTTAGGGTAGTCTGCGCCTAGAGACACTTTCCAGATAAAGTCAGGCAGAGAGCAGGGGACCCTGCTAAGGGCAATGGCTGTCTGGTCCAGGCAAGAACTGCAGCCTCAACCAGCAGGGTGCCTCCAACATCCACTGTGTGCAGCCCTTGATGCATCTGATTTTAGGCATATAGACGATCAATTATGTATGTGCGTAAGATGGTAAGTAGGGAGTTCTCTCTAAAAGTTCACTTAAATGACACACTTTGTCTTATTGCATGTAAATTGACCCTCTCTCCCTTATGCTGTATATACTTCAGTTCCTCCTCCTAAGGCTGACTACCAAGGTCCAACTACGAAATTATTGAAGTCTATGAATCAAAAGCCCCCTTTGGCTCACCTAATTAATATGCTCAATTAAAATTAAACATCCCATCTTAACACAGGGTCTCCCTTTTTACCTTTCTTTCTTTTCTTTTTTCTTTTTTTTTTCTCTCTCTCTTTTTTAACACAGGGTTTTTTGGGATAGCCTTGACTGTCCTGGACTCACTTTGTAAACCAGGCTAGTCCCAAACTCAATGAGATATGCCTGCCTCTGCCTCCAAGAGTGCTGGGATTATAGGCAGCCCCCTTTTAACTTTATAAACTGTGATTTGCCTATGGGTCATATCTGTCTCCTCTCTATCCAGAGACAGTCCTTTTTCCCATTCCCCAAACTTCAGGGACAAATACCCTTACCCCCAGTCACTTAGCCCTTTTCTCCTCTCTCTTTTGATCCTTTCCCCTTCTCCCTAGTTCTCTATATCCTGCTTTTGGTGGGTTTTTTTGGGTTTTTTTTTTTTGTTTTTGTTTTTTCCCTTATACCTGCCCTCTGTCCCTCTGGGGCAAATCTCCTTTGTGTAGAAAACTTGGTCTTGGGGTGTTGAGCCAACTTTGAGGTTCCCTATAGTCATAGACTCCAGGAAAGAGACTATTGTTTTATTGCTGTTAAATGGATGTTGTATGCTTATAAATTGCCTTCTAAGCATTCCTGTTCATACACTTAGACTTCTGAGGCTGTCACCCATGGTTGTGGAAAGAAACTTGGTTGTTGTTGTGGCAGTGGTTACAGTGAGGACTCATAACCAGACAAACTACTGAGAATGAGCTTCTTTTGCTGTTGACATCTAGGTCACCTTGTATGTGGCTCCAGAAACATTACGGGAGAGTGAGCTGAAAGGAAGTACTGGAGGAAGGGGTTAATGTTGTGTGACTGAAATACTCCCTTGTGAAGATGAAGGAAGGCTCATGAAATGCCCAAGGAGTCTACAAGGTTCACAGTGCCCTCCCAGAGCTTATGCAAGCAGTGAACAGTTAGTGCTAGGAAGAAGACCGCAAGGCGGGGTGTACTGAAGACTCTGGTGACGAAGCATGTATAAATCATCCCTGTAGAGCTGGCTTCTAGTTACTATGCTCTCTGAGTCTTCTTTCTATGTGCGTGTCAGTAGAGAACCCCAGTAAACGCATCAAGGTAGACTGTGGTCTATCTGGGGGAGAGATGTTGGATTCATGTTTCCACAGAAGACGTCAAACAACAGGCGTATCTTTGGCTCAATGGAGCTCTGTCACTGAGGGACTGAGCTTCACATGGTATTCCCACCTGCCGAGGACTCCTGCTCATCTCACAATGACAATTTTCCTTGTCCTGTTGTCCCTCTCTGCATATGTCATCTGGCTCCCAGCATCCTGATTCCCTATGTGCTATGGAAGACAGGTGCTATTTTCTTGCTATTGTCTATACATCGCAAAGTACAGGGAACCAGTTAGGGAAACTGGTATGATACAAATATTACATGCCGCACAACAGGTGTGGTACAAGGAAGTTTATTGTAAAAGGGCAGAGGGGTGAGGGAAAGGGTTATCATCTGAGTTAGTCATGAGAGAGACGGTGTGGAAGAGCAAAATGGGGAGGGAGACAGACACCCAGAGAGACATGCACAGAATACAAGAGAGGTAAGCCAGGTGGTGGCCACTGCCTTTATGTGGCAGGGAGCAGGTGGTGACATCAGGTTGCTGAGCAACCTAGAGGCAGACAGGACGACTGCCTAGACTGCCTACATGCTTAACAGAACCTCCCTTATTGTCTTGTCCTGTGACCCCTAGATCTGGCCTTGCCACATGGAGAAAGCCGGTGCAAGCAAAGAAAGACAGACTTGTGGAGGCAAGTCCAGTGCCTTCCTGACACACAGGGCTTTCTTGAAGGTCTATAATTGAAAACTCCACTTTCATAGGGCTCAAGTTAACACATACTTGACTTGTTGGAAAATAGCCTATCTGAGGTGAAGCTTGTCGGACAAGGCCACCTGGCAGGATAGCAGGGAGTCGTCAGTCAGATTCCCTGAGAAGACAGCTGCAAGCAGGATTCAATGCCATGGCTCTGCAATACTAGCCTTAATACTTCCTGGAAACCACGTTATCAGATAAGGGGAGCCTGGACAATGCTGATTGAAAGGACCCGCTGGGCTGAAAGTGACACAAGGAAAGATACCAGATGACACTGCATTGCTAGAGGTGAAGTTCCAACAAAGAGAAGCAGTGCCACAGGCAGCAGTGGGAGACACGCCCATGTGTCTGAGTCTTACAGGATGACATGGTGAAGCTTAAGGCACCTACGTTCTGAAGCTCCTGTTGCTTGGGAAAGACTCTGGAGCCAGCCTCAGTCTCAGGAGTTGTATGTCTGAGACAATCTCTGCTCACACATCCTCTTCCGGGACCTGTTTGTGTCCCCCAGAACGTGCCATGGTTGGCCTCCACTCCAAATACTAGTTCACGGGATTGTGTCTAGCCCATGCCAGTAGGGGCCAGACATCCTGTTCAGGTCATGGAAACCACTTCCGCTTCATCAAGCCACCGACCTGCTACCTTTAGGAAGGTGATTTTTATGGAAACTGCTTTATTGCCTCAGTTCTGTCACCCTAATATCATCAAACAGACAGTAATCCAATGAGCATGAAAAGTGTGCTTTTTATTATTTGTTATATATAGTACGCTTAATTGGAACCTGACAGATATGGTAAGAAATAAGGTCATAGTCCATGTTACTGAGCAGAAGGGAGAGGATATGTGAAATGAATTATAGAAAAATCCATGAACCATTTAATAATGCCGGGGTATAAGTATTCACCTGTCCTTTGGAATCCCACAGCCTCATAGAGGGTCATAGCACCTTGCTGCATGATAGTGGTCTCAAGAACAACATCATTGTAGCCCTGGTCCCGTGCAAACTGGAGGACAGTTCTGACCAGCGCTTTCGCTATCCCCTGTCCTCGATGCTGTGAGGACACAGACAGGCGAAAGAGCTCCAGCTGCTTCCTCCCTAATGGAGGATCCTTGACTGGCAGAGCAGCCACTGTGCCCACCACCTGCCCCGCAGACTCAGCCACCCAGAAGCAGGAGCCATGTACCCTCAGGTAGGACTTGGTGATGTCAGCCATGTCTGTGTGCAAACACTTGGCCACATACTCCTTCCAGGGCTGTCTGGCAAGGAGCCGCAGGAGTAGAAGCAAAAGGATAATGCCTACAACGGCCAGCAGGCAGGAGCCAGACACCAGGACCAGGGCCAGGGGCACCCCAAGTAAGAGCAGGAGGGTTCGGGGCAGCAGCAGCAGGTGGCGGAAGGTGGCGGGGATGTGCTCCTCCAAGCCCCTGGAGAACAAGTCCACAGCCTGTTTGTGGTCCGTCTCCTGGAACTTGCGGATGTAATAAGAAGCCATGGAGAGACTTCTGGGTCTCAAATACCAGCAATCACAGGAAACAACCAGATCTTTCTTCACGCCTTCCCTGAGCCCTGCAGGAGAGAGAGAGGAAGCCATGTGAGTTCCCTGCATCCTCCCCCCCGCTGGCAGCCTCCCAGGAGCCATGTAAACTTTGCTCAAGGGTGTGTCTTCTAGTAGCACTCAGGAAAAAGCAGAATATGACTAGGAAAAGTGTTGGGTCAGCAATGGCTGATTAATCCCCATGGCTTTCCCTTTTCTGGCCCTGTGATCCTGAAAGAGTTACATAAAGTCTCAGAGCCTGCTTGTCTTTGTCATAGAACGGAGTAAATAGCACCTGCTTTTGGGTTGCTTTGAGGATTTAACATGGGGATCTGTGTGCAGCAAAGCCTTGCTTAGTCCCCTCCCCTCTGCCCTCCTTACCCAGTAGCTGCTTCTCTGTTATTTTGATACCTTAAGATGTCACACTGGAAGGAAGATGTGGTGTCCCCTCACGTGGTTTCCTCTTCAGTGTCAGCACACAGCAGAATCTCATGTTCCCACAGGCAAGTTTCAGAAAACTCTCTTCCCCCTGATTGGAAAGATTTAATCTGCCCAAAGGGCAAAAGGTCATCTCCAAACATCCCACTCTTGAATCCCCAGCAAAGTTGTTAGGCCACAGGTGCACAGGAGACCTCTTGCCCAGCCTTGCCTCTCTGTTCTCTCACCCTGTACCACAGAGCCGGGAGTGTTCGGCAAAGCCCCAGCTTCTAAATGGCATCTCAAGAAAATCTGCTACAACTTGCCTCAGCTCCAGGGAGCTGACACCTCATTGGCTGGCTCCTGGATAGTCATAAACCAAAGGTCAAGAGCTGGAGTATGCCAGAGGACATAGTTCTGTCCACTCATGTTGTGATCACTCGCCATAGAGTTAATCTGGAGGAGAAGCAGGTTCTGGGACAGCCCTCATGGAAGGACAGCCACCTGCATCCCTGATTCCTTCACCCCACACCTCCCACCAAGTGCACTCGGCTTTCCTGAAGTGCACCATGCTTCCCTGTGCACATCTGTGCATGTGCAACTCACTTGGCTCACATATGCTGAATGTGGGTCTGGCCTTCCAGAACCAAAAGGCAGCCCTTCACTTCTGGCCTTCTCCCTGTCCAAGCTATACGTGAACATATAAAAATAGATCCAGGCAGCCCCAACACTGCCCTCCTGTTTGTCCTCGTTAGACCCTAGTTGAGCCATAGTTGGGGGGTACCTGCTGGTCTGCACATGTCCTTTTTTTTTTTTAGATTTACTTATTTATTACGTATATAATGTTCTGCCTACATATACACCTGCACACCAGAAGAGGGCAGCAGATCTCATTATAGATGGTTGTGAGCCACCATGTGGGTGCTGGGAATTGAACTCAGGACCTCTGGAAGAGCAGCCATTGCTCATACCTCCAAGCCATCTCTCCAGCCCTGCACATGTCCTTTTTGTCAAGTAGTGTAGCCACCCAGGCTCAGGCAGGCCCAAGGACAGGTGATAGAATACCAGAAGATGTGTCTGTGAGCTTCCGGAAGACATTTAGTCTCAACCATTGAGACACCGAAGGGCCTCCTGTCCCAGTTTGATTTCTGTTGCTGTGGTTAATATCATGGCCAGGCAACTTGGGCAGGAAAAGGTTTATTTGGGTTAAACATTCCATTCACAGTCCATCACTGCAGCCAAGGCAGGAGTTAAAATTGGCCAGGAACCTGAAGGCAGGCACTGAAGCCCAGCGCAAGGGCAAAGATTGCTTAGTGGCTTGACCTCCATGGCTCGCACAGCTTCCTTTGTTATTCCTCTCAGGACCACCAACTCAAGGTGGCTGAAGGGGACCCTGCAGGTGTCTAGTCAGGGAAGCGAACCCACGAAGAGATGAGAATGAAAACTTGGTTCAGATTGACCTCGGCAACCTGGATCAGACTTGGGGAATCTAGTGACAGTCAGTTCATTGCCAGCATATCTCATTTAAAACACAGTTTAAAAAAAAAAAATGGGAAAAGGTTTCCAGGCCAGAGTCATTCCCATCCCAGCTGCACAATGAAGCATAAGGTGTGACTCTAAGGAACTCTTCTACAAAGCTCACGTGGCCACAAAGGTGGGTTCCATAGCTACAGGGACTAGAATATAGTAAAGTCTCTGACTGAGATAGCATAGAAGTCAGCAGGCCATAAACTACACGTGGCATTCCCCCAAGGATGGACTCTATTAACTGAGCTAGTGAGGGAGAGTCTGGGATAAACATTTGGGTAAGGTCTGCTGCACAGATAGCAAAAAAGGTCACCAGGTCTTTAACAGTACCCACTCCCAACTTTCTGGGTGGGAGAACAGGCATTTTATCTCCTCCATTGAGGCAAGGCCTCTGTGTTTAATGTTCCTGGTTTCCTTGGTGATCTGTGGGCAAAAAGACCTCTGTGACCCTAAGACAGGTGGCTGTCTTAGCAGTGTTCTATTACTATGAAGAAATGCCATGACCATGGCAACTCTTATGAAAAGAAAGCATTTGATCGGGGCTGGCTTACAGTTCAGGGTTTTAGTCCACTGTACTCATGGCAGGCAATATGTAGACGGACTGAAAGCTGTCACCTAGATCTGAAAGGAGCAGGAAAGGAGACAGGAGGCCTGGCTTGAGCATTTGAAACCTTAAAGCCCACCCCCAGTGTCACACTTCCTCCAGCAAAGCCACACCTATGCAACAAAGCCACACCTCCTAAGCCTTTCAAATATGTCACTCCCTAGGCGTGCAGGTAGATGAGCCTGTGGGGACCATTATTCAGACCACTGTGGTGGCACTGTCCACAACCGGAGGGTCCCTTCTGCATCATCATCAGTCAAGAAGATGCTCCACAGACTTGTCCACAGGCCATTTTATGGAGGCATTTCTAAAAAATGATTGCTCCCTCATCCCAGATGACTGTAGCTTATATCAGGCTGACACAAAACTAAACTGCACACCTCTCCACACCTACTCCTATGCAGGAAGAGCTCATCCACCTCCCCAATGTGGTGCCCAAGGTTGCCTGCAGGCAAAGCCCTGGTGGGCAGCTGGAGGCCCTGTGTTGAATTGCAAGTTTCCTTTCTGACATACCAAATGCTTGAGCATTGGTTGACACTGGGGCCAGGTGTGCCTTGGCTGGTGACAACTCTCCAAAGAACCCAAAGTGACAGGCAACAGTGAAAAGACAAAAAGACAGAGCGGCAGGGTGGGAAAATTTTTCTGCCTCTGAGTATGCTGTGTGCATGTCTCCCCTTGACAACAGAGATTCTTCATCCAGTCCAAGGCCCTTTCAGCAGCCAGGTATGGCCAATAGAGAACAGCAATGGAGCCAGCCTGGAACTTGTCAGAGCAGAGAGCTCACTCAAATAGTGACCATGGCAGGCATGAACATGGCCTGGAGTCTGGCCAAGCAGCTCAAGCTAGGCACTCCCAGCTCAATGGGAGTGAGAAAATGGCAAGAAATGCTGAGAAACTCCCCAAAATGAAGAGAGCAAATGGTTTCTGGAAAAGGATTATAGGCAATAGAGAATTAACTGAATGTAACATTGCTCTTTTGAGGAAACAATTGACAAAATCTGTGGTATCTGTCTTAAGGCTATTGTGGGAAGAGACAAATGATGATGGCAACTCACAAAAGGAAAGCATTTAATTGGGGGCTCGCTTACAGTTTTAGAGGGTTAGTCCATGGTCATCACGGTGGGAAGGAGACAGATATGGTGCTGGAACAGTAGCTGAGAGCTTTACATCCTGATCGGAAGGCAGCAGGCAGAGAGACAGACGGGGCCTGGCAGGAGCTTTTGAAAGCCGCCTCCAGTGCCACACCTCCTCGAACAAGGCCAGGCCTCCTATTCCTTCTCACACTTTCAGTCCCTGTTAACTACGCACGCAAATATGTGAGCCTGTTGGGACCGTTCTCATTCATGCCACCACAGAATCTTTCCTTACTATCATTAGACATTTCTAATTTATCTTTAGTGTTTCTTTAACCATAGAATCACTACACGAAGTGGAGTTCTCTTGAAAGGGCCAGCAGTGACCCTTTAGCAATCTTGCACCCTCTGTAAAAATTGTTTCTTTATACAGTACTAACATTTGAGTATATTGAGAACTTGTGAAAACATCTGGAAGAACAGGAAAAACATGAATGAAGGCACCTGCATGGGTAGAAAAAGAAACTCTCAGGCGTCATAAGTTTGCTATTCTTCCAGAGGACAGGAACCTATATCTTGGGTGGCCCACAACAGTCTGTAACTCCAGGGAGTGCATTCATACATGCATGTATAAACACAGAAGCATGCATGCGTGCGTGCGCTCGTGTGCGCACGTGCGCACGCGCACACATTTTTAAAGTCCTTTAAAAAACAGATGCATGAAAGTCAGTGCAGAATTACTGAGTGCCACAGCAGCATCTGTGTGCCATGGGAAACCCTGTGAGCACTCCAATGGGTGAGGCAAAAGAGGGTTTTTAAGGTCATAGGGAGTATTATATAAGACAATGAAACAGCAACTCTTGGCCACACAGATGAAAAAGTCGGCTCAAGGATCAATAGTCACCATGGTGCCACTCCCATCTTAAACTGACAGTCACGGGGCAGGTGGCCTGGAAGAGATCTTTGCTGTGCAGGCTGTGGTGACCTTTGTGCAGGGGGGCTCTCTAGCAGGATCTTTGGTTCTTCTAGCTTTAGGGTATACCACCTTGACGAATTTCCCATATAACTAACTGGATTTCTTTACTGACTTACTCATTGGTAGGAATCGACTTAAGTGATTCTGGTTTGATTCTGACAGTGTGTACAGAATAACTGGAATTTCCTAGCACAGTTCAGTAGGGAAGGGCATTCATAACACTGGGATGGGACCTGGCTTCAGTGCTCAGTCAAGGCCTGAGTTTCAAAGCTTAGGGTCAAACTCCAAGGAAAACCCAGGACTCAAATCTTGGACCAGGACATAAATCTGTCTGGAAGAAACTGGCTGAGCAGGCTTCCTTGCCTCTGGGTAGTAGAGAAATCCTTCCTGGCCTGAGAATAACATATGATGTAAGGACAAGGGTGGGTGTGGGAAGAAACAGGGCACCCCACTTTCAGGGAGTTTGAAGTTTTCAAGCCTAGCAGACTTTTCAAGCGTGCAGTAGACTTTGTGCAGAGGGTGGCCTCAGGGTTCAGCACCATCATGTCGATGATAATGTGGGCTCGCCCACCTTCAGCCAGATTCCCGGCCTCCGGTGAAGTCATTGATTTGCCTGGGCCAATTTTCTGGGTAAGTTTTCTACATACTGAATTTTCCAAATGTCTTTGATTATAAACCTTGAGCTTTTTCTTTTAGACATGGAACTCCCTTGTGTAAAAGACATGTGTTCTTTTACACCATTCAAACACTGAGCATTGGTTGGGCAACAAAGCAGACAGGTATTCTTGGCCAAGAGTACAAGTGGGATAAATTCTCTCCCCACTGTGGATCTGGAGATGAGAGCTGTACAGTGAAAGAGTGGAGGGAGGCACAGACTAACAAAGGGTAGACATCCTCGGGAATGGGTAGAGGCGGTCCAGGAATTTGCATATCACATCCTTTGGCTTCCGGTAAATTTCTTTCCTCATCATGGCAATGTCAACTGCCTTGCGGATAGGTGGGGTATTATTAGAATGCAGATTATAATGAGGTTAGAGACTGTCTGGTGATCACTCTGACAGCCTCCTTTAGGTTCAATGAGTCTCAGCCAGCCCACCTAAACTGATGATACCTGGCTAAGGTGATGGTATGAATAATCCAGGA